GGAGAGACAACGCTGATGCAGTGACATCCGGGCCCCACTAGGTGGCCATGGGCCTCCTTTGAACTCCAGGCCTAGCAGAGAATTCCTTCCCATGTAACCGGAGATCCATTTCCCATTTCCTCTGTTCCCTGGAGAAGTTGGGATGGAATTGTGATGAAAGGGATTCTAAATAGAATAAAGGAATCGCGCACACACACACGCACGCACGCACGCATGCACGCACGCACGTACTTCTTCATAGAAGCAGTTATTGTGTGTGAAAATTATAATCTCTGCAGAAGGGCCAAGGCTGGCCGCCATCATTTCTTGCCTTGTTTTCTTTAGCAGCCAATGGTTTTTCTCTGAAGGCCAGCAGATAAGAGCTGGGGGTTGAGTTTGAGTGTAGGGTTAGGATATACCTTTGGTTAGGGTTAGATTCAGCCCATAGTCAGTGTGAGGATCAATATGAGGTCCAGATCAAGCCTCTGATTAAGGTCAGAGTAGGGAGTTATTCTGTAGCTGGGAAAGAGTATGGCTATAAGCTCACATAAGAAATGAACTCATGACATTTTGAGCTCTGCTCTCCAAGGGAAAAACCCAGGGATGATTTTCTGGAGGGAATAAACTTCCGGTGAGATTTTGAAGAAGAAACTTGGGAAGGCAAAGTGAAACCTTGAGGGACTAGGAAGAATGGCTGGACACAATTGAATGTAATGTTAGTGGAAGTCCCCAAATGGCGGTGGTCTTGATCAGGGTGCAGTTCATCATCAGACACCTGAACTCCCAGGTCATCCTCCCTTTTCCTGTGGGGAAGAGGACTCTCCACTGGCTTTGGCCAAGGGCACTTCTCCACACATTCCTGGCTCTGAGTGCCCCTGGGCTCTGTGTCTGCACTTGGGGTTGCCAGGGCAGGGGCTGGCGCCAGGCGGGGTAGACACAACCTGGAAACAGGGAGTGGCTGTGGAAACAATGTGAGTCTGGCAAACACCACCAGCCACTCCCAGGCGAGAGATGAGCTGGGTCATCACTGGGGAAGCCAGAGCCTTGGGACAGGAACAGCGAGGGGCTCACTCAACCCAGAGCCACCTTCTCCAGGAGGTCTTACCATCATGACAACCCCAATTTAGCAGCTGCAACAGGTGCGAGGTCTATTCCACTGTGTTATCCAGCACTTTTTTGTATGGTTGTTGTCATGCATCTTAGCTGTTTTCTCAGATGTTAGCCTCTGAGAAGCATCTCTCTTCTCTCCCTGCTCCCTTCCTCAGGGGACTCTTGAGCCTGTCAGCAGTCTTTGACCTCCATGAGGAGATGGCCTTCACCTATTAGTCAAAGCCTTCCCTACAGAGAGTCCACCTTAGTTAGAACATGGCACTCTGAAAAGGCTCTTTCATCAATATGAAGAAGGGACTTCCTGAGGAAACAACTTCCTTAGCAATCTGGGATCCCCTAAGGGAATTCCTCCACCATCAGTCTGGAGACTCTTCTCTTATAAGTCTAAGGGATGCATCATTGTGGTTAATCAAGGAGGGACCCTCTCCAGTGTGGAGCCTATGAGAATATGTCTCCTCCAGTAGTCTAGGTCCCTGGGGGAATGCCATCACTCTCAGCAGATGGGGCAGTCACTGTGAGTCCCTGTTCAAGAGCAGCCCCAGCCAACTGGAAGCACCAACCAAGAATCCAAGTCAGGCTTGAGTGAAGGTCAGTCATGTACTTGCAGATTTTGTAAAGGAAATGATGGCAGACATAATGATGGCTCGTGGTGTCGGTGATTAAAGGGGCCATGATACCTGCTGGTGGCAGTGATGGTATGAGCACAGTCATGGTGCTGAGAACCTCAGTGGTGGTGGTCCTACCGATGGTGTCTTTGGCGTTAGCAGTGCTCGTAATGGCAGGAGCAGCAGAGATGGTGGGGACAGTGAAAGCTAGGGAGGGTGCAGTTGTGGTGACCACAGTGACCAGGGGCATAGGTAGTGGAGGTGGTGGAGGCCTCAAACTTGCCACCACTGTCCTAGGAGGGAAGAGTCCCAGGGCAATGGGAGCACAGAATGGGGAGAAAAGATCTAGAATAGCTTGAAGGAGAATCTCAACCATAATTTAAAAGGGCAACAGAAACTGTATTCAAAAGTGGTTCAAGTTAGATCTGAAACAGGGATGCCAATTATAGAGTCCAAAGCTGTGGGTTTTACAAGCACTGAGAAATATGAGTGAGAAAGCCCACAGGACTAAGACTGTGAATCTGAGACAGGAGAAGGCCCACTTTGCTGGAGCCCCTAGCCACAGTGGGTCTGGAAGGTAGAACCCAGAGGCCTTCATGCCTCTGGATGGTCCAGAAGAGGCTGGAGTATCCAGGGCTGCCTAGAAGGGAGAGGACTAATGACCAGGTCTGCGGACTTCTCTGATCCCTCAACCTCTTTGTTTTCAACTCCGGAGATAGGGGATGGGGGAGGCGGGGCTGTGGGAAAGATGTCAGAATCAGCTGGTGAATGTGAAAAATATAAGCATACCTCCTTGCAACATTGTCCTGGGCATTCTGACTCAGTTTCCGGGGTGGGTCCTAAGCATATGTAGTTTTAATGAGCTCCCAAGGTGATGATGATACAAACACACACACACACACACACACACACACACACACACTCACTCACTCACTCACTCAAGATACTTGACCAGATACTATATTCAGCAACCCTCACCTCTGCCACTGGGCCTGGAGGTATTTATAGCCAAAGGCAATGACATCTCCTATCATCACATCTCCACCTGCCGCGCCCAGAGGGTCCTGAAGACTGCAGGTGACTGGATGATATGAGAGACCAGGGGGTGGAGGGCAGGGCTGCAGCTGGGGCCTGCGATGGTCATTTCCCAGTAAAGAGCTAATACTGGCCTCAAAGAGGGACAGGAAGTGTTGATGCCAGACATGACTCCATACCCAGCCTCCAGCCTTCCTACAGACCTGAGGGTTGTGAGCGGGCGGTGTGGGAGGTGGCGGGGAGGACATGGGGAGCCCTCAGAGGATCAAAGCTGAAGGAAGAGGAGACCGAGGCTGAGGAGGTGCTGAGAGGGAGCTGGACGGAGGCACCCAGACCCAGGCTGCTGCCCCTCTGAGGGAGCTGTGCTGTTTGCCTGCAGTGTCTTCCACTCTTCCTGTCAGGTCCTGATTCCAGGCCAGCTCCAGCCTGCCTGGTCCACGAAGCACTCCCAGGCCCCAGAGACTGTAGGACCCTCTGCCTTTGCTAAGCTCTCAGACTCTGTTTTTTGTCTTTGGGATTAGACACACCCAGGTCTTCTATTTTACCCTTTGTGAGATGTTTTCTGTAGGGGCTTTTTTTTTTTTTTTTTTTGCCTTCCCAGCTATCTCCCCCCCACCCCCCACAACTGATTTGTTTTTTCTCTGCCCCTCAGCCACCAATGCCCTTAGCATTGGAAGAGCGTGGGAGAGCATTTATTAAAATGTGTGGACTTGGTTTGAAGGTGGGATGAGCACTCAGTGGGAAGTCAGGGCCCTTGGGTTCCAGCCCTAGTCTGCCCCTTTCCTGGCCTCTGGGGTCTCACACCAACAGGAAAGACATAAGAACAGCTTCTTCCCATGTTTCCTGTCCCCTTCATCAAGCCCTGGGCATTCTGTGTCCCTTGTTCTAACACAACAGCCTGAGCCTGCCAGCAACAGAAGGATGAATCCCCCAACCTGGGGCCCACCACAGTTAAGACTGCAGGCAGAGAAGAGGAAACTGAGGCAGCCTCCGAGATGCTAACAATTCTGTTCTCTCTCCTTGATGTTCTGCAAGGGGGTCACTTCAGGTCATAGGCCTTGTGAAAAAGGACTAAGGTTGGCAAATCAGGTTGAGGGAGTGACTTGAACTAATCAATGGGATCTTCTTGAAGGAGAAAGTGAGAAAGGCCTAGGGAGTAAGGCCCAAGGATAAAAATGACTTGCTTTGAAGACAGAGGGGCCCTGAGATGAAAGAAGGGGGTGGCCTGTGTCAGAGTGACTGGGAGGGGTCTGAAGGGTGTTTTGTCCATGTGGTGACCCCACCCAGGGTCAGGTAGGGGGCGTGGGTGCCGGAGAGTGCAGGGAAGATGCAGTGGGAGCTTTAAAGTTGGCTGCCTGGCTGAGGTCCAGGGCAAGGGGGTGTTGCTGCAGGATTAAAGGTGGCTCACACACCAATGGAGCTTTTTAAACTCTTCAATATCTCAGCTGCCTCCTCAGTGGCCCCACAGGCACCTGAGGTCAGGCCAGAGCAGCTGCCCCAGGTGAGGAGGTGTGGGCATGAACTCTATTTCCCCACCAGGAAGCCACCAGAGGGTCTAAGGGATCTCTTACTTTCCGGGCCCTCCCCTCCCAGGCCCTAGTGTCTCTGCTTCCCCAGGAGCTGTGGGGAGGGGGGAGGGGGGGAGAGAGAGAGGGAGGGAGCACTCATTTAGGAAAGAACGGTGTCAACGTTGGGGAGAGAAGATTTTCCATCCCTGCCCCCTGGGAATAGAATGTACTGGTAGCAACTTCTCCATTCTAAACTGAGCACAAGGGACGCCTGGATGGCTCAGTTGGTTGAGCATCTGAATCTTGATTTTGGCTCTGGTCATGATCCTAGGGTCGTGAGATTGAGCCCCATGTAGAGCTCTGTGCTGAGCATGGAGCCTACCTAAGATTTTCTCTTCTCTCCCTCTGTCCCTCTACCCTGCTCTCACTCCCTCTCTCTAACCAGCCCCCACACCTTGCACTGGAGGAGGCCGTGCATGGAGGTATTAAGAGATAGAAGCATACACCCACACAGAGGTCATGCAAAGCCTCATGTGGAGATGCCAGGCAGCCTTATCAGGAATAACCCCAAACTGGAGACAGCCCAAACACCCAACAACAGGTGCATGGATAAACAAATTCCGGTACCTCCATCTGAAGGAACACTAGTCAGCAATAAAAAGGAATGAACTACTGGTTACATGCAACCACTTGGATGAACTTCAAGATAATTGTGCTGAGTGAAAGGAGCCAGGCCAAAAAAGAGTACATGCTGTATGGTTCTGTTTATAGAAAACTCTAGAAAATGCAAACTAATCTATACTGACAGAAAGCAAAGTAGGGGCTGCCTGGGGACAGGGAGTGGCTGGGATGGAAGGAGGAGGGATTACAGCGGCAGGAGGAAGCTTTTGGAGAGGATAGAAATGTCCATTATTTGCTTGTGGTGATGGCTTCATGGGTATGTGTATGTCCAGAAAGATCCAACTGTGCACTTTAAACAGATCTGTTTATTACAGATCACTTATACCTCAATAAAACTGTTTGAAAATGTGGTGGGGGTGGTGATCAAGATGGTGGTGAGAAAGCTGAAGCAAAAGTTGCTGACAGGTCAACCGCAGTGTGAACGAGGCCACCGTGTTCAAGTGATTTAGGCCCTTGTCTGTCCCTGGAAGCCGTGGGACGGATGGGACAGGGCCTTCTTCACCTCTGTCCCCAGCACCCTGCGTAGGGCTCGCAATGCAGCAGGCACGAAATAGTCTATTTGTTCATCTCAGCGATGACAGCCCAGCATGATAAATGCTATAGTACGAGAACCCCGGGGGCTGTGGGAGCACAGAGGAGCGTCACCATCAGACAGCGCATGAAGGCTTCCTGGAAGAAGTCACATCTGAATTGGGACTGGATGGGCAAGTAGGGTCTTGCCAGGCAAAGAGGGCTTGGGTGGGGGAGGAGTGCCCCAGTGTAGGAAACAGCTTATGTCAAGGTCTTGAAGCTTCACAGAACAAAAGGCACTAAGGGCACTCCATGTGGTGGGAAAGGGAGAAACAGGATGTCGGACTGGATGGATGGGTGGGTGGATGGATGAGTTTGTTGTGTCTCCAGAGTCACAGGGAGCTCCTACGGTAGAGTTGGTACCGAGATTGACACTGGAACGTGACAGTGGTGTCCCAGTTTTCTTCAAATGTGGGAGAGGCCTGTGCCATCCCAGCTGTCCACCTGGTCCAGTGCCCATGTGCCCACCCTGACACCAGCCCATCAGAAGCAGGGACAAGAAGATGCCTGAGCTTGTAGAGACACCCCCGATCTCTGCCTGCTGCCCCTCACCAAGAAGAGAGTCTGTGACTCTAGAGGGAGCTGAGGAGTAGCTTTCTTCCCAGGCACTGCTATGTTCTGCTGAGCTTGGGTCTGGAGTGAAGGCGGTGGTGTAAATAAGGCTGGGCTGGTGGGGGTGGGGGCCATCCTCTCTGAGCGCTGTCAGCTGCAACGACGGGGGCTGGCCCTGTGGGTCCCTGGGGGCCAACAGGAATGAAGTGAGAAGGATGCAGATTGTGCCGGGCTCTTCCCGGCAGGCCAGCTGTGCTCCCCACACGCAGGGTGGCCTTGGGCGGCACGGCCAGACCTGCCCTGCAGGCCCGGGGTGAGCCAGAGAGGCAGCCTCCCACCCTGGCTCGAGCCCACCCTGTGTGTGTGGCCTCAGATTCCCCAGCACATGGCGTGCCTCGGGCCCCGGCTCAGCCTTTGTAAGGTGCAGCCACCCACCAAGGTGGGACTCTGTCACCCATCCTGAGGATTGGGGGCTCAGTGACTGGGGGCTATGGAGACTACCTGCTCGTGGGCAAGGAGACCCCAGTGGAGTGGATTTGTCCTGACGCTATGTAGGATTTGTCCTGACACCAAGCCCTTCCCTCTGGATCATGGCTCCCATGCCATCATTCATTCTACACAGCCCTCCTCCCTAACCCCTGACACCGTCTAAAGCTCTTTTCTGCCCACCCCACTCCCTGCTCCTGTGGAGTGGCATAGCCTCTTGGCACCTCCTAGCCCAAGCCCAAGCAATGACCACCAGCCCTGCCTTGTGTGACTGAGGCCCTGGCCCAGCTGGAGCATCTGTTCTCAACTTTTGTTGATTTTCGTAACTGTCATCTGTGGTGCCCATTAGGGTTGCAGCGTTATAAAGGGGTTCTGGCCCTCTAGTTCTCCAGGGCTGACTGTTCTGTCTGATTAACCATTGGGCTCCAGGGCAAGCCGTCCCAGAGATGCTGCAGCTGCAGGGACAGCTCTTGGCTCCCTGGCCTCTCTCCAGCTTTGCCTAATGCTTGGCCAGTGGCAGGAGCTGGTGCCCATCCTCCCTCCTGAGGCCTATCCCCAGCTTACCCTTGCTCCCCTGTCTCACTGGACACCCCTGCTGTCCCATGGCCCTGGTCACTTCTCCAGTCCCAGGGAGGGGCTGTGCAATCCCTTTTGCATGGTGGCTCCACCGATGTCCACAAAGTAGGAGATTCCAGGCTCCCTTCCATTTATGATTCACAGCTCTACAGGGACCTTGCTTCCACCATGTTCTTAAAAAGGAGACAAGGAAGGGGGAATGTCATGGTTACCACCGAATCCCCTATTCCAGGGACTTTGAAACCTTTGGGGAAAGCACAGTGTGAATCCTGGCAGGCAAGAAATACCTCTGCTGGTTGCTGGCAGAAATCACATGGTTGCAGCAGAAATCAATCCCTCCCTTCCTCCTGCTTCTCTCTTGCCCTCTCGAGATGTCAGTGTTGACCAAGGAGGCCTGGTGGCCTTTGCTGCCTCTTCCCAGCTGTCTCCAGGATACAGATCAGGAAAGAAGCTTAGGAATAGAATAAATATCTGTTTTAGACTCAAGTCAAAGCTATGTCTGAAAAGAGCAAGTGGGGCTCAGGAGGCGATGCATTTGAAAAGCGGCTGGCTCTGGAAAAGCGGGCATGCAGGTTGAGACATTAATAGGCCGAGTCCACGTGTCCACCTTATAGATGGGGGACTTGAGTCTGGCCGGCCCTGATCTGGGACTTCTGAAGGCAGGGCCCTAGCATCCCCAGGGGATATGCAAGTGGCACTTCAGTCCCCTTCCCTGTGCTCTGGCTATACACACACGGACGCACACACACACACACACACACACACACACACACGCATGTGCGCACACACACACGCACATACAGACCCAGTTAATTCATGGGGTGCTGCTCCGTCTATGGCTTTAAGGTTGTACGAGTGATTTGAAGCACATAAATGATGCATCCCTTACATTCGCACCCTAAGAGGCTCGGTGAAATCTGCCAAACTACAGCAGGTGTAGGCAGAGCTGGCTGTATGGACCACTTCCTGACCTGGGCTTTTCTCTCTGAAGCAGAGCAGGTAGGCTTAAGGCCTTTGACTGGATGTTGGAGAGACCAGGGAGGATGGATAAAATGAGCAGTTGGGGGAACATCGGAGTAGGTATAAAAAAAAGGGAATTGCCAAACCCACAGCTGGCTTCTGGGTCAGCTTTCGTAGCCCAGGCACAGAGGCTGAGGAGCACAAGGCTCTGCCCCCACTCTGCAGAGCCCAGGCGTTAGACACACAGAGAGAAAGCTGGCAGCCAGGCAAAGGTCTTGGACCAATTTTTTCCACTAGTGAATCAGAGGAGAACGGTAATGGGGGTTAGGCCTGATCCCTGGTCACCTCTGTGAGTCAGAGCTGAGGTCCCTGTGCTAATCTTAGCCCCTCGGGGAGGACTTGTTCGGACTTGCCACCAAGTCCTGACCACCAAGCTACTCTTAGAGCTGACGTCACCCTGGGAAGGCCTGGCCCACCAGAGCAGGGTCAGAGCATGGAGCCAGGGTGGAGGGGGGCTGGTCTGGCGTTAGGCCTGCCCCCAGTTCACCTGTGACCTTGAGCAAGCCACAGCAAGATGAGCTCCCAGGTCCTCCCAGCTCAGAGAGTCTGCCAGACCAGGGCTGAGCTGAGGCCGGTCAGGAAGGGACCAGGGCCGGGCCAGCGGGAGGCCTTTGGGCCAGGCCTGGCCCCGCCCCTGTCACAGCAATTGCTCACCAAGAACCTGACTCCTAAGGATGGACAACAAACGATGCCTGGGTTCTGGGGCCAGGTGCACCCCAAACTTGTTGTGTGATTTTGGACAAATTGCTTCCAGAAACCCCTTTTCTACCCTAGAGGCAGTACAGCTAATGATTTAAGGCATTGCATTTTGAAGTCAGGCTAACTTGGGTTGGAATCTTTGTTTCCAATGCTTAGTAGCTGGGGTAAGTCATTCAACCTTACCAGGTCTCCGTTTTCTTGCCTGTAACATGGGGCCAAGAACAGGACTTTCCTGGGGGGATTTTTGTGAGGGTTACATGAGCTTATGCTTGTGAGATGCTCAGCCCCAGTCTGTCACATAGAGGATATTCAGTAAACCCTCGCTACTGGCCTTAGCAGCTACTACTTCTGAGCTTTGGTTACATTCCTTCATAAAGAGAGATGGCACCATGGGTGATTTCTGAGCCCCCGTCTCTAAACAGCAACTGTAGCTTGCACAGTGAGTCCAGTAATGGGGCTTGCGGGGAGTGAAAAGCAATGAGCTGTGGAGAGGTCCCCAGGGCTGTGGACAGGGGGTTTGAGATGCAACAGAGGGATCGCAGTTAAACACAGGGGAGCTCTGGGAAGCTGGCTGTGGGGGCCGAAGCTTAGCCGGGTTCTGGACCTCAGGGTCAGGGGGCCCCAGGCGAGCCTCTGGTGTCTGGGAGGAAGCCTTGTCCTCGCACTCAAGCTGATACTCAGTTTCCCACTGAATTCCAGCAGGATGATCTTTTTTTTTCATGCTGTTTCCCCTGGTGGTCTTCTCACCGTGGTCTTAACCACAGTTGTGTCAAATGTGTGTTAAAAATGCTGCTATTAGAAAAGGTGGGTATGACTCTTTCCCCCCCTTTCTCTAGCATGCTGGGGTATGTGTGTGTGTGTGAGAGAGAGAAAGAGACAGACAGACAGCGACAGAGAGAGACTCAGAGAGAGACAGAAAGGAGGGAGGGAGAGAGGGAGAGAACAAGAAAGGTTGCATCTGTGATCTGAACTGACAGATATGGGCATCCTTGCTGTCTACCAGGGAAGCTGGAGTAGCCACGTGGCTGTGACCTGATGCTAAGGCAAGGACATGGAAGCCCAGAAGGGCTGGACCCCATCTCTAGTCTCCTACCCTGGCCAGAAAGGGCCTCCTTTCCCACCTAATACCAGGACCTGCCCTCCACCAGTCGTGGAGGATGAGAATGAACAGAAGCTCTCTTTCCTCTGGGGGAAGGACCACAGGGCAGCCTGGGTGTGGCCGGGGCCAGGGCAGGAGGAATGGAGGTAACCCCTAGTGGGAAGATGTGGCCATGTGGAGGCCCTAAAAGGAATATGGTGCCTGCGAGGAGTGAGGGGCTGAGTCTGGAGCATTTCATGTGTGAGGGCGTATCAGACTGCCTTCTCCCAGTGAGGAGGGTTCTGGAACATTTGGAGGGCCTGGGTGCCTGGTGGCAGAGACCGGCCCTGCAAATCTGGGAAGCAGGGAGCACAGCGAAGATGATGAGCATCCTTTGTCTTGTTGCTAAACGCTGGGGTCTACAGAGGCTGCTATGGAGGGAGGGGGGAGGGCCAGGGGCAATCCCTTGACATACAGCGCTTTGACTCTCAGGTCAAGGGAACAGCTGTGAAAGCCACGGGCACATCTGGCTGGGGCTGGGCTGGAGGGGGGTGAGCCTGTGGCCGGCAGGGAGCCAGGGACGTGGTGGAGACAGATAGGGCCCCTGTTTACTGCTGGGCGAGGTGTTGCAACAGGAAGAGGGCTGGGGGAGGAGGAGGCAGCTCAGGCGGAAACAATTTATCTGGAGCACGAGGAACAGCTGGGGAGGGAGGCCAGCTCTGCTGCTTTCCAAGGCCAAGTGGGACGTGAGGAAGGGATGCCCAGTGCCAAAGCAGCCAGCAGTCCCTGTCTCGTGCCCCCCACCTTCCCTGCAGCCTTGGAATCCGGCCCTGCTGTCGTCGCCCAGAGCAGAGCCCATGTCAGCAGTCCCCACTCCCAGGCCCCGGCTTGGGGCTACCCTTCCCAGTGGGACAGCCCACCAGACTGCAGGTTTTATCTGCTGCTGAATGTATACTGCGCCAGGCATCGCGCGTTCCTTTCATCTGATGACTATGTGAGATGGGTGTGTTCTCCACTTTCCAGAGGGGAAAATAGAGAAGTCATAAGCAATTTGTCCAGGGCCGCACGAAAAGTCGGGGCTGTGGAAGGAACTTGAGCCCATGTCTGTCTTATTTCCAGAATTACTCAGATGGCCCTGGGCACGTGAAGGGGGCCTGTGGGCCTGCCCTTGACCCTGTAGGACGGCCTCTCCTCCTTAGCCTAGCCCCAGGACCCCTCACCTCCACACAGTTCACAGCCCACTCCCAAGAGGCTGGCGGTCCCCACAGGCCAGGGTCTGATCAGGGAGCCCTGCCTGTCATCTGTGTCTCCTAAGTCTCTGTGCCCACAGCCTGACACACAGAACAGTGGCAGCTTCTGAGTGAAGATTTCTGGGGCACAGGACTTCTCCTGGACCTCTCCCTCACCCCTTGAGGTGGGTTTCCAGAGTGAGCTGGACACCTGTGGTAGCCACAAGACACCGACTTCCCTTCTGAAGGAGACCAGATGAGATGGGGGGTGGGGCAACAGAGCAAAGTGGGTACCACTTAGAAAGACCTCTTGAGTTACACCCGTTTGTGAGATGGGGAAGGAGAGAACTGGGGAGCCCTTTCAAAGCAGGAAGGGCAGACCTAACCTCATCCTCACTTTTAAAACCCACCAGTTGAAAAACTGGAATGGAGCCTCCAGCCTCATGTGCAGCTGATCCTCGGGGAATGTCATTTCCCATCCAGAAGGATGTCACACAGCCTGCCTCACTTTGTGCCCTGAATGAGACTGGGACTTCCTTCAGGTCAGTGTCTTTGTCTCCGACTTGTGTGTGTCTCATTCGCGGCAGAGGAAGTAAAATGAACAAGAAGCGTGTGTGTCCCATAATGAGCCACACAGTGTCACATTCAGCCCTTGTGACAATCCTATAAAGCAAGTGTAACCGCTCCCATTTTTCAGATGAAGAAACTGAGGCCCAGAGAGGAAGGGACTGGCCCAAGGTCATATAACCAGGCAGTAGCTATGATTCAAATGGTTGGGTATCAAGTACATAATGTGTATTGGGAACAATAAGTAATGCTGCTGTAATAAATAGCCCCCAAATCTTAATACGACAAAGGCTTGTTTTTCCCTCACTCAAAGTCTGCAATTAGACTCTTCAGGGCACCTGTCTTCCATTCTTGTTTCAGGCTGCTTTGTTCTAGGACTCTGTCGTCTCTTCATTCACAGGGTGGGTAATGGAACAGTTCACTAATGCACTGGTCAGAACTAGCCCCATGGTCCTGGTCTCCTCCCACCCAAGGCAGGAGGGACCCATTGTATGCAGGTGGAATGTTGGCAGGCTCCACTGTCTTTCCACAGCCATGCGTGATGCTCGCCTGGGTCCAGGAGTCCGTGCCCCCTGGGCACAGTGCTCATCCTGAACGCCCTCCAGGGTCCCTGGGCCCTACACAGCTGAGCTCCCTCGGCTCGTGTGAGCTTGGGGCTCAGACTCAGGTGAGCGGGAAGAACTCGATGATATTATTCCGACACCTCCAGGTCCATTTGAGTTCGTACTTCCTCAGGGGCCACTTCTCTAGGTAACGTTCTGTGGCCCCACCCACTGGGATCCCTTCGAAAGCTTTTTCCCTTCACAGTGTCCTCCAGTCTCTTCCCTGCAATAGCGTGGGCAGCAGGCTCCTCCTGGCACAGACAATACAGAGAGACCTGAGGGGAATGACAAATCCAGCCCGTTGCCTCAACTTAGCTTGTCCCCGGACAGACTCACCATCACGCTCCTGGTTCAGTCTGCTTTCTCCCTCGGCTCAGCACCGTGGCTGTTTCTCTGATCCCCAGATCCCTGGGAAGGCACTGTTCTTTGCATCCGGGCTCCAGGTCTCCCCATGTGTCTAGGACCGAACTGGGCCCCCAAGCACCTCATCCACATTCAAAGCCTTTGCTTTTCCTGCCTCCAGAATTCCGCTAAATCAGGCTCTGCTCTCCCCTACGGATGCTGGCACAAGAGAGGCTGTTTCTACTCCTCCATTGAGGGAAGATGGGGCAGAGACCCCACAGGTGTGCTGGGCGCCTCAAAGACCTTTCCCATACGCTCCATACAGGAACAAAACCAAACCATGTGCTTTCAAAGAACCTCCAGTTGCCTGCGATTCAAGTCCCTCTAGGGTATTCGGAAACTTAATGAATAATTATGTGCAGTGCCTAGCACGGCATTCAAAAAATAGTAGAAAAACGTACATCGCAACATTACCTTTAAAATCTCTGGCATGGGATGCTCTCCGGACCTGCGGATGTGACTGCTTGCATCTCTCCCTGAGCGCTGTGCCCCACAGCAGACCTGGCTGGGGCAATCCCGACAGCCGCTCTCCCCTCACTGCCCTTTTTCTGTGTCAGAGCCTGTCTCCCTCACAGGGGCTGTGAAGGCCACATGGCTGTTCCCCCAGCCTCCCTTGCTGCTATGACAAGGACCTGTGACCTCATTTTGATCAGTGGACCTGAGGGCTTGGGGAAAGTTTTCCTCTCTACTAAACTAGGTCCCTGAATGGAAACTCTGCTCTTTTCTGGCCAGAAGTTAGCATCTAGAGGTAGTGCCTAGACCTCCAGCAAGCCACTTTGTGACCACGAGAAGCTGAGGTCAGCCGACCAAAAGTACAGATGAGTCTTGCATCATTGAGTATGTGATTGAGCCAGTGAAGTAACCCTGGGACCGCTGAACTTGTTGCTACTTTCAGTGACGTGTTCTGCTACCTTTGGCTGAAATCATTCTAACTGAGACACATCTCATAATCAACAAATCCATAAACACACTCACCAGCTCCTTCCCAAAGTCCTCTTCCTCTGAAGTTCCCCATTTCAACAATCGCGTTTCCTTTGCCAGAAATACCGCTAATCGCTGCTTCTTTCTCCCCCCTTTCTCTCATCCAGACTGTCACCAAACACCTTGACTCTTTTTCTGAAGTCTCTTAGGTCGCTTGCCCTGCCAGGGTGATGATGACCATCTCCTTCTGGCTCTCCCTACTCCGATTTCTTCTCTCTGGCCCGTTCTGTGCGGCGTGCTGAGCGCCTCTCTCTTCTGGTCATGTCATGCCAGTCACACCTCCATGTTCTTGCACTTGCTGTCCCCTTACTGGATGCTCCCCTCACTCCCTTCTCACAGAGCCCCTGTGAAGCCTAGACCACCACAAGGTGTTCTTTTCTCTGTGAACCTTTTATTAACTTGTCCAGTGAGAGTTAGTTGAACTTGCTTTGGTATTCTACCCAGAGCTCTGGTTTTAGTAGTCAGCAGATTGTAATGAACCTCATTGCCTATATATCTCCCCTACAAAACTTCAGGCAGCTTGAGGTGAGAGATGGCATCTCAGTTACCTTTGAACTTCCAGGACCCAACAATGGAAGGCAGCAGTGACTTAGCGATTCTTAACCCAGTGAATGAACAGCTATGTAGAATAAATGAACTTCCTCTTGAACATGGGCACCTGTCCTGGCCATCTATTGCTATGTAACAAAATTTAGGGGCTTAAAACAAAAATAGCATTTATTTTGCTTACAAATCTAAAATTTGGGCAAGATTCAGAGGAAAGAGCTCATCTTTGCTCCACCTGGCATTGGCTGGGTTGGGTCAAAGGCTGGAGGCTAGAATCATCCCAAGGTCCATTTGCTCATATGTCTGATGGTTGCTGCTGGCTGTTGGCTAAGATGTTGGCCGAGGTTGTCAGCTAGGAACCTGTACATGGTCTCTGATGTTCTGGGCTTCCCCACAACATGGCAGCTAGGTTCTAAGGGTGAGCATTTTAGGAGAGCCAGGCAAGAGCAGTATCGACTCCTGTGGTTCTGCCTTAACAGTCACACAGTGTCGCTATTGCCACATTCTATCCAGCAAGGCAGTCACAAAGTCCTGCCCAGGTTCAAGGGTGGGGAAATGGGCTCTGCTTCCTGATGGGGGAGTGACAAGATTCTGGAAGAGCATGTGGGACTGGAAATATTGCTGTGACCATTTTTTAGAAAATGCAGTTTGCTTCAGGACCCCTTTAAGTATTCTAGTCAACTCTTGCCTACCATTTTCTCCAAACAGTCTGTAGTCTTTCTTGTGAGACCTTGTGTGCAGGACTCCTTGGTTTTCTCCTTGTGATGTGCTTCTCTGAACGCGACGAGATGTGCTTCTCTGAATGTGGTGTAAACATGTGGTTTAATGATCAGCTGTTAGGGAAATAGGGTTTGTAACCCACCTCTGTCACAGTCCGATTCTGTGACTTGGGATAAGTCACTTGAATTCCATAGGTTTCACTTTTTTCCTCAGTAAACAAGGAGCTGATGATACCTGCCCCATCAACCTTATAGGTCCCTCATAGTGGGAAACCATAATAGTTTCTTTGCCACCCAAGTCCCCAGGTGGGAGAAGCAGAGTTGAGTAGCCCCAGCCACATGATCTGAGGGTTGTTTGATAATGGGCACAGTGTAGGCCATCCTGATTGGTATCACTGACCAGCGGAACAGAACCAGTCCTGATCATGCTTGACCAAAGCAAGAGCTGATGTGGCGGGAAGATGGCTTCTAGCTGCAATTCCACCTTCCAAATTCCTTGTCCACTTGGCAAGGTCTAATTTATATCCAGAATCACAGCTTTAGGGGAGTCTGGGAAATGTAGTTTTCAGCTTTCCAGACTCTACAGTGCAGGCAGGCATTCTCAAAGGATTGACTTCGAGAGCCAATTTAGCATACCCATCAGAGCAAACACATATGGCACTGCTCCAGCCCGAAGCCAGGTGAGAAGAATTTACAACCTGATATTTGGGCCAGACAGGGTGGGATGAAGGGAATGGAGTATAAAATCACGTGAGATGGGCTTGGGATGGCAGATGGAGTTTATATTAACCTTCTACCTCAGATGAAGACTACTGTTAGCATATAGTGTGTGTGTGACTCCTGAAAACATTTAAAAGATCCTAGTGCAGCTGACAGAATATACTTTTGCTCTATAAGTATTGCTTTATAAAGTACTAAATGCTATGTGAAATACTGAACACCACTGGCTAGCACGAGACCATGAGCTCTGCATGTCCAGGGAGCCACGTCTCATGTGTTCCCTTTGCATCTAGCGCTGCATTGGACATGTAGTGGGCATTCAATAAATGCTTTATGAAGGCATGGATTTGTCAGTATTCCACTGAGAAACTGACTTAGAGAACTTGACTCGATGTTCCCAGTGTGGTCTGATTAATCAGAGCCTGGCGGGAATGCCCCCTCCCCTGTTCTTAATATTATACTTCTCTTAACGTGGCCCAAGATTATATTAGTCTCCTTGGCAGCCACACCACACAGATGATTCATATTGAGCTTGAGGTCAACTATAGTCTCTGGGTCTGTTTCACATGAACAACTATTAAGTAACGCAGGGCTTCCCCCATCCTGTCCATATGCAGTTGATTTTTTGAACTAAACGCTTTTTGTAACATTTCATCCCGCTGAGTTAGTGTCCATCCTTCTAGCTTCTCAAGATCTTTTCAAGTCTTAAGTCTTAACTCATTGTATTATTCATCCATCTTAGAGTTGCTTCATCCACGATTGTGACACAGAGGCAATCTGCATCTTCGTGCGTGTTCATGGCAAAAGTGCTGAACGAGGCAGGCCACCAGAGACCTCCCTGTATGGGGTTAGCAACTCTTTAATCAGTGTAACCGGAGAATTGTAACTTAGCCATCTCGGATCCTATCTCTACTCTCACCATTTTGTCACAAAATATGACCAGAGACAGTCTCAGGCTGGAACAGTGGCGTATCCAGATCGCCCCCAGGCTCTGGTACCCATGTCAAAGGGAGGATGGGGTCAGCCAGGTACAATTGGCTTTTCGCAGTGACGCTGGCTTCCGGGCATCTTGACTTTCTTTTACAAGCTGTCAAGGACATTCCTTTATGTATCAAGAACCACGAAGATGTTTAGACTGATGTTTAGACCCGGTCCCCCCACCACAATGTTACCTGCTGTGATCTAAACGTCTGGATGCAAGGAAATGGCAAAGCCGATTGTGGTACAAACTCTCTGTGGAACCAGATGGCACTATTAAAACAGTAATTATTTTTAAAAACAGGGGGCTGGGGGAACTCAGATATAATGTGAGCTCAAAAAAGCAAGCCACAAAATGATGTGCACCCCATGAGACTAAATATGTTACATCGTGGGCATGCATACAGGGCATCCAGATATTGTAGAAACTGGGACAAGGAGACAGGACCAAGGGTGATTTATTCTATTTTCCAAACTTTCAGTAACCCAAAGAAAGCAGCTTCTGAGACAAAGGTTGAGTGAAGGCATTTTACTGAGAAAGTGCCCAGGGAGCAGGAGGGAGGGCCAGTGATGTGGGGGGGAGGGGAGAGCTGGCCTTTAGTATAGGGGGTCACTGGGTCCCATAGGACCTCCGGGCTGCTGGTTGCTGAGGGGAATTGGGAGCATTCATCAGCTCCAGCTTCATCCCCCAGGGTACTAGCTCTCGTGCACTCCTGGTTTTGTAAGTGAGGCACCTGGAAGGTTCCTGGGGAGCTCTGGGAGGAGAGGGGAGTGGGCGTGACCCCCTGCAGTGGTGCCTGAGGGCAGGGATCTGTAGGGTGGAGGGCACGGGCCAGGGGTGGTGGGGGAGGGTGGGTCACAGAATCTGATGCGCCGCATGGGATGGGTCTGACCCAGCTCCGCTGATGGCTTATAACCGCAGAAGCCTGCTCTATCCCTTCTATTGCTGGACATTGGCCTCGCGGTCTCTGGCATCCAAATTCCATCTTGATGGGCAGGAGAGCCTTAGTCCACCTCTGATTTTCATCTTTCCTGCTCTCCCCCGGGGTGTCACCAGCAATTTCTCCCAGGGCTGAGACCCAACTCCTCTGGGCCTGTTAGACACCTGCCTCCTCCTGCAGGCCACACCCCTGCACACCTCTCAGGGCGTCAGTTTGCTGCCCCCACAGGCATACAGCTCCCAGGGAGGCTCGCTTTCCCAGGAAGGTGGGAGTGTTTCTAGGAGGCGAGAGTTCAGCCATCTCTCTCATCAAAGTCCCTTTTTAAGCTCTGATATACCTGGAGTGGCCCCGACACACTTTGTATCATCCGACCTGAGGACACTCTTTGTGGGAGGGGAGTTGTTTTCCCATCACCTTATTCCCTGTTTGTTGTTGGTGAGAGCTTTTGGTTTTCTTCTTTGTTTTGAGTTTTTCACGGGGCCACATTGATCTTTTGAGTCATCTTCTCCAGACCACTGTATTTTCTCTATTTGAAAACTATCTGCTTTCTCAAGGTCCACCCTCCACAACAGGATTTGCCCACCACTCCCTTCCTGTGACATTGTGAATGTGGGATGATAAAGTTCTTTCCTTCCCAGGTCGGTACCCTTTCATGTACCACCACACGCCTCTTAGCTGATCAGAATTCAGTGTATCCTGCCAGTTCTGTCTGTTGCTTTTTCAGAGATTAAATTATCAGCCAAGCAAGAATGTAGCAAGCGTCCTGGCTTCAGCAGATGTCCTTGTCACTGGAGCCCCATCACTCCAGCCAAGACCTGGCTTCTGCCGATTTGGGGACCCTGATCTTGGATGTAGA